ATGAGCTCTTCAATGCAATCTCATAGTATTACAGAGTAGGTATCCTGTAAGCTACAATTCAGTCAAAGCACATCAAAATGCCTGTCTCATTCCTCTTCTGATCACCTCAAAAATGTACGTCCACCAAGTATTTCTGAAATCAATTCAGTCCAAAGCAGGAAACAACAGTCTCCTTCTGTTATGGGTTCACTCAACGAGATAGACCACCAACTCAGAATTTAAATTTAAGAGACTTTATTAAGCTGGCCAGCTGACTACAGTTACAGCACCCTGCCGAAGCAGAGGCTGAACTGCAGCGCAGACTACAGGAGTTACAGCATTTTTATTTGCAAAAACCACAAAGTTACAAAACCTTAGTTCCGACACAGTACAGCATCATTACAGTGACTACCTTCCTATCTATGTGTTCTAGGAACAGAGAGTACAGAAAGAAGGCCTGCATGCTGGGAAGGGGCCATGAGACTATATCTCAAGGCCTGGCCTGATGTCAGTACCTTCCTATCTATGTGTTTTAGGAACAGACAGCATAGCATGACCCGTCTGGCCAAAGCGCCAGATATGCAGCCCAGCACACTTCATGTAGTTCAGAAACTGAGGTAAAACTAGCTGCCAAGTTTCCAAGACCTGTGGTTGCTGATCTTCCTCCCTCTTTTCCTTCTACCAGCCCTGCCTCTGGTTGCCTTTTTATCTGAATCTTCCAGCCAAGTCCTGGAGTTAATTTGTTTTGAATATTATTAGCCCAGAGTTCCTCTCCTATGGAGCCAAGGCACTATCTTGAACCTTGGGTGGAAATTATAATGAGTCTTCAGTGGCTTAACTATAGAAGCTTCTTTTTGATTGAAAATCATGTAAACCAACCCTGACAAGCTGAATTTTTTTTTAAAAAAAAGAGGGGTACAGGGTGAGAAGTGAAATTTTGGGGAAGGATATTAGTATCTCACCCCAGAATTTAAGGACAAAGCTGAAAAACATAAGGAATCATCCCAGTGACCATGGCAACTCTGAAGCTTTTAGCAAATTAGAATGCCTGCCTTAGTCTTACTCTGATCACTTCAAAAATGTACCTCCACCAAGTGTTTCTGAAACCAGGTTTCATGTCAAAGGCAGGAAATAGCAGTTTCCTTCATGTGGTTCAGAAATTGAAGGTAGTGGACCTTCTCTCCAGAGAAGCAACTAAGCAGATCCCCAAGAAGTGAGCCCAGTGAGTGCAGCTCAGGTGAGGCATTTAGGGGGAGGGCCAGGTCTGTGGGGCTCTGCTTTTGTATTGGGATGGGACAGTCTCTGCACCAGGGGAAATCATCGTAAGCCCAGCAGCCATGCCGACAAGTCTGTATATTGGCCCTTCCTTGGGAAGAATGGTCAAATAGGGAGACCTGTCTTTAAGGAGGCCAGATTTTTAAAAATATATATATATATTTTATTGATTTTTTACAGAGAGGAAGGGAGAGGAATAGAGAGTTAGAAACATTGATGAGAGAGAAACATCAATCAGCTGCCTCCTGCACAACCCCTGCTGGGGATGTGCCCGCAACCAAGGTACATGCCCTTGACCGGAATCGAACCTGGGACCCTTCAGTCAGCAGGCTGACACTCTATCCGCTGAGCCAAACCGGTCAGGGCAAGGAGGCCAGATTTTTATCAGCGGAAGTTGCCATTTTGTATGGAGTTCATTTTCTTCATTGTGCCATTCAATCTGACCTCTTTCATGGTCTTCCTCTAGTTAAAATCAATTTATAGTCAGTTCTACTTTCCTGATTGACTTCATATCATTTCTTTCAGTTTAGCTTCTATTGGTTAAACTTTAGAAGAGGCTTTCAAAATAGAATTTGGGTCCCGCCAGTGAAGATATGGAGAGCCACACTTGAAGTTATTGCCTTGTCCTTGCCCCAGGCAAGGATGGTTGTGAACTTTGGAGGCTGGTCCATCCCAGACTCTCCTGCCTTAAACCTGAATTACTGTGACATTTATTCATTCGTTCGTTCATTCACTCACTCATCAAGACTTCATTATGTCGGAAACTCTATCAAGAGGTAGCGATACAAAGATAAATTTGGAATCATATCTGCCCTGAGGGGCTTACAGGGTTTGGAAATGTGCTTGTTGTAAAGACAATGGCTTTATAATACCAAGTGGTTAAAGCAGTGCAGGCTCAGGGAGCAACACTGGCCCAGAGATGCTTCCGTGGCAGCATAACTGGCCCTATGGCTATACCCCCCCGCCCCCCCCAGGACTGAGACTGGTAGGCAGGATAACAGCCTCCTCAAAGATGCCCACATCTCTCCCTGGACCTGTGAATAAGCTATGTTACGTGGTGAGAGGGAGTTAAGCTTTCAGATTAATTGAAGCCACTAATCAGCTGGCATTGAGATGGGGAGATAATCCTGGATCGTCCAGGTGGGCCCAGTGTACTCACAGGGTCCTTATAACTGAAGGGAAAGGCGGAAGAGGGAGAACCAGCATGTGAAGACTTGACCTGCTGTTGCTGGCTTAGAAGATGGAGGGGTAGGGCCACCAGCCAAGGAACGCAGGCAGCCTCTGGGAGCTAGAAAAGGCAAAGGAATGGAATCTCCTCCAGAGCCTCCAGGAGGAAGCAGCCGAGGCAATAGCTTGGTTTTTAGATTAGTCACACTCAGTTCAGACTTCTGACTCTCAGAACTGTCAGGTTATAAATTTGAGTTATTTTAAGTCATTATGCTTGTGACTTGTTACAGCAGCAATAAGAAAATAGAGCCAATAGGAGTATGCTGGGAGGTATGAATGCTGGTTATCTGCAAAAAGGAAGATTGAATCGGTGCATCTTTCTAGAGCGTCATTTAAAAAATTATTTTCATGTGGAACAAGATAAAAAAATTTGGCATCGACCTTGAAGATCAAGCACAAGCTTTCACATTCTTTCTCATCTGTGAGCTGCTCTGATCCCTGGCCTCCAGTCCCCCTGGGCTCCCAAGTGTTCAAGAGGCACTAATATGTCTTAGCACTGTAGTCAGTGACTACCAGGCAACTCTCATTGTTATTCTTAGCAGAATGCTACACATTAGTCCTTTATTATTATTATTATTATTATTATTATTATTATTATTGATTTCAGAGAGGAGGGGAGAGGGAGAGAGGGATAGAAACATCAATGATGAGAGAGAATCATTGATCGGCTGCCTCCTGCACGCCCCTCACTGGGGATCGAGCCAGCAACCTGGGCATGTGCCCCTGATTGGAATTGAACCCGGGACCCTTCAGTCTGCAGGCTGACGCTCTATCCACTGAGCCAAATCAGCTAGGATTTAAAAATACTCTATATCAGTGGTTCTCAACCTTCCTAATGCCGCGACCCTTTAATACAGTTCCTCATGTTGTGGTGACCCCCAACCATAAAATTATTTTCGTTGCTACTTCATAACTGTAATTTTGCTACTGTTATGAATCGTAATGTAAATACTTGATATGCAGGATATATTTTCATAGTTACAAATTGAACATAATTAAAGCATAGTGATTAATCACAAAAACAATATGTAATTATATATATGTTTTCCGATGGTCTTAGGCGACCCCTGTGAAAGGGTCGTTCGACCCCCAAAGGGGTCGCGACCCACAGGTTGAGAACCGCTGCTCTACATCAAAATAGAATAACATCACACATTTTTACCATCCTTTCGCAAACACTTCTTTATAGGTGCCTAAAACAGGCTTGTGAAGAAAGGGTAATTATTCTCACTTGTCAGAGGAGGAAACAAAAGCTAGAATGATTGTCCAAGGTCAACAGGTACCAAGTGGTAGTGTTGGCTCTTTCCAAGACACCAGGGTGGTGCCAGGCATGTCGCAGGTGGTGTTTCTCTGGGGTAGGTCACATAGGTGCCAGTTCCCAATTCATCAAGCATCTGCCATCTAACGACTGTTCACAGAGCCCTGCGCCTGCACAACGGCTGCTCTTGATTTAGGTGTCGATGCTTTCATTCTGACTGTAAAACTGTAACCGGGCCCTTGTCCTGATATGACTCGCTCTGTTCTCATGAAGGGATCACATTGACAAAAGAGCACAGACAATGTGCCAGGGTGGGAATGGGGCTTCTCATAACAGCAAAAGGCCATTTTCATTGTGGTCCCAACGCCACTGACCTGAGCTAAGTGCAGAAAGAGGAGGAGCCCGGAGTGTCCCGTTCATTACGGGGGTCACAATCAATGGCTTTTCTCAGTGCTCCTTTCGATGTGGCAGCAGAGCGTTATCTGGGCTCAGGTCTCCGAGGCTGCAGTTGTGTTTGGGCAGTGAGGACCTCATGTGAACTCAAGCACTGTAGAAAGGTTTTGTTTTGTTTGTAGGTTTATCATTATTAATTATGGTTTTATAATTACAGAGGAGGTATTTTTCTCTCCTCATTGTCTTTCTCTGACTCCAATTCAAGGTCTGTACTTTCTATACTTTTTCAAATTACCTTTTCAAAGGAGTCTTTCTGACCACCCATATAAATATCACCCTCACCCCACCCCATGCTTTTGGCTCTCTATTCCTTTACCTTCTCTATTAGTTTGTTCAAAGCACTTCTCTCACCTGACATATTAATTTTTTTTCTGTCTCCCCTGCCGCAGAGCAGATGCTATACCTCCTTTGTTTGCTGTTGTATCTAGACAAGCGCCTGACACATAGTAGAGCTCAGTAAATATTTGCTGAATGAATTACTGAATTCTTTAATCTACCCCGGTGTCTAGCACAATTCCCAGCCTGCTGTAGAAGAGACCCTAGGAAAATAAAAAGGAAGAAGTCATAGCAAAGTAGGGGGAAAAGCTTAACTTACTTTTTTGCAGTCAGAGTTTCTAGCTTCGGATTGACTGATTGATTGGGGGAAGGGAAGGATCAGAGTGGAGAAACTTTGGACTTGGGGTCGGTCGGAAGCATAGAGTCAGAACTGCTCTCAGCCCCTGAGGGACATGCCCAAGCCTGGCTCTGGGCAGAGCTCGATTCCTGCCTGGACTGCCCTCCTCCAAATAGACGTGAATATTCACTTAGATACGCAAAGGCTTTGGTTAGTTTATTTCATTAGTTCGGTGGTAGGAGACAGTAGAGAGAAGCTGTGAGTACACTTTTTTGAGATCCAGTGATTTGTTACAAGTTTGTTCTAAAGCAAGTCAGAAATATGGGCAGTGGATAAATCCTCCTATATTCCAGTGCATTCGTGGGGTTTGGATTCGTGACTCTTGTAAAGTCTACTGGGAAACATCCAGTTATTGCTTAAGGTCTAGATCAATATCGCCTTTTCTAGGAAAGATTTTCTGACTCATTCCATGGAAGGGTTAGCTCTTCAGGGTTAGTTCTCCGAAAGCCACCAGCCTGCTTTGTTCATATCGCCGACATTGGTCTTTTACCCTGCTCATTGAAATGACTATTCATTAAAACAAAAAAAGAAAGAAAAAGAAATAAGTAAATGACTATTAGGTTAAGTGATATCCATTGATAGTTCTCTCTGAGCACTAGGAAGCCAGAAATCATCTCATCACACCTCGTATCTCCAGTGTCCAGCTCACATGGTGGTACTCAGTGAATGCTGAGAAAATAGACAAGTGAATACATGAACAAACAAGAGACTACGATCCAGGCACAGCTATCTCATTGTTAAACTATATGAATATGTGTTTCCCCTCCATTCAGGCACTCTGATTGTTCTGAAACATCCCTATCCAAGAAAAGTGGAAGAGCCTTCCATTTATGAATCGGTCCGGGTTCACACAGCAATGCAGACAGGAAGAACGGAGAACGATCTGGTGCCCACTGCGCCTTCGGTAAGTGGCCATCCATCTGGCACAGCTTTCTCGCTGTCCAATAGCAATAAAGTGCAATAAGAGTAATACACTTTCAAAGTATGTCTGCTCGCATAAAAATTCTCACTTGGGATATAAAACCTGAAAAGGAACATAAGGTTTGAAGCTTATGACTCAGTTTATCTGGTTCGGCATAAATCACACACACACACAAAAAAATGCGATTATTGAGAGGATCTTAAATACTTAGAAAATAGCCCTTAAATCTCCATCCTCACTTAGTCAAACTAGTTCATGCTAGAATAGGTGAAAGGCATTTAAGTTCACATAGTTGACTGAACTATTATTCTTCAACACGTTTCTAAAATAAAGAAAACAATTTTCTTCTACATTTCAACCGTATATGGAAGAAAACTATTTTTCAAAAATAATGTCCTGCAAGCCCCCGGGAATGCTATTTTTCCTGGCCTTTTTCTCCTTCACTGAATGAAGGTACTGACAGAAAACACTGGCCCTTCTCTGTAACAGGGCCATTGTGCAGTCTGAGTGCCCCCAGAGCACTCATTGTTCTTCTGAGAGTCCACTTCTGTTTCTGCTGTGAGCTGTGACCCTGCAAAGATTCCTCTCCAGCACCCTCTGCCCTACATTATGCTCAAGGCTCCTCTATTCTCTTTCTTTTTGTTTGCTGACTCCTCCTGGTATAAGACATCTGGATTTGCGCAGATAATAAAGAAGACAACACACAAATGAGACCTCAAGAACTAATTCTAGATAGCAACCATTACACATGAAAAACATCCACTTGGAGATATTCAGCCTCAATTCTATTAAAATATGTGTGACCTTTCTGTCTCCGGGGCACTTTTCCTACTCTGCCACCAAAGACACCTCTCTTAAAAAACAGATTCACCACATACCTTCCTGTTAACATCCTTCTGTGGTGTCAACGGTCTTCTCAGCTGGCCTGGACCCTGCTCACACCTCTGGCCTCACCTCAGGCTATGCCCGCACTCACACTGTGGAACCTGCCTCTCTCAACAACATGCATTTCTGATTGTGCTCCTCCTTCCTGCCCTGCATCTGAAATGCTACCAACGCCACACTCTCTCCTCATTTTTCAAGACTTGCATCAGGGATCAGTATCTTCCAGAAAGACTTCCAAGCTCCTCCTAGTTTCCTGTAAAATGCCCCTCTTCTGTGCTCCCAAGCACCCTTTGTTTCCCTTCATTCTGGACTCGTCATAGTGGAGGCTAACTACCCTTCCCAGCAGCCTGACACTTCTCAGGACAGGAATCATAGCTTGGAGTGTAGCTTTACAGCCTAACCAGGTTCACAGCACACATTACATTCTTGTCACGAAGCTACATCTACTCAAAAATTAAGATTCTGCAAATTGGTTGAGAAAGATATTTTAGCTTTGTTAGAGTTGGAAGCATTAGACCTCGGAACTAAAGAAATTTCGGAAAATAAGACAAATCGTCATCGGACCAAAGAACAAATCAAGACCTACCTTTTAATTCTTTTTTTTTTCCTGTAGACCCCATCGTTCTTAACGTTCTTCTTTACCCTTCCTTACCCCACCACCTATCACTTCACCATCTCATTCACCTGTAGTCTCAGTTTAACATCACATTCCCCCCTTTACCCTTCTCCTAAAGATCTTCATTCAAGGTCAATCGTACCATACCTTATGTGTGTCCTTTATCAACAGTAAAATGCAGGTAACACCTAATTTGAAGGGTTGTTGTGAGCATGAGAAGTAGAGAGAAGCAGATCACTTTAGACTCAAACCTGGAAGCCTTATTACTTACCTTCTTTGCTCACTCCAGGTATCAGATGATTTACCTGCCCAAATATCTAAATATGGCGTATATAGAAGGTTCTGTATAAGGGAGTTTTTAAAACAGTGGTGAGTGAATGGTTGAGAATGACTGCACTGACACTATATAATCAGAAGTCCATGAAGTTTTTTGTGACAGAAAATTATAAAGGGTTTCTAGTGGCCCTAACCAGCTTGGCTCAGTGGATAGAGCATCGACCTGGGGACTGAAGGGTCCTGGGTTCGATTCCGGTCAAGGGCACATGCCCAGGTTGTGGGCCCAATCCCCAGTAGAAGGTGAGCAGGAGGCAGCCGATTAATGATTCTCTCTCATCATTGATGTTTCTCTCTCTCTCTTCCTCTTCCTTCCTCTCTGAAATTAATAAAAATATCTTTTAAAAATAAAGGGTTTCTAGTAGATACTGAAGTATCTCTTACTAGTCCTCACTAGAGAATAATTGATCACCGGACCAGCTGGCTGGGGAAATAGTCCTGGTTGGATCAGATGCTCTTGTCCCTTAATGAACATGAGTTATCAGCCTTCATTGTTGTCCTCAGTGCCAACATGATACTGTACCACCATCTCCAAACTGAGAGCTCTGAGGGCTTCCAGACTTCTTTCTTCCCCTTTTGGGAGGCAGGTCTTTCATAAGCTCTAGCAGTAGAGAAAGAAAATTAAGTCCTATTTACTGAAAAAAAGAACTTGCTTGAAGTGAAAATGAAAACAGATGTCCCATTGCCCAGAAATGTAGATGCTTGTGTAACACTGCTTAACATCCTTTGGCAACTGCATTTGGGGAAATTACTATTTGTCTATGTTATAAACAATATAGGATTGGGTTCCTGAGATAGGATGAAATTTAACTAATTTACTTATTTAAAGTTTTTTCTTTTTTAATTGACTTTATTGGGTTGACGCTGGTTAATAAAATTACATAGGTTTCAGGTGTACAATTCTGTAATACGTCATCTGTATATTGTATTGTGTGTTCACCACCCTAAGTCATATCTTTTTCCATCACCATTTACCCCCACTTTACCCACTTCTCTCTCCACCAGCCCCCTTTCCCACTGATAATCACCATACTGTTGTCTGTCTATGAGGGTTTTTTTGTTTTGCTTAATCTATTTACCCTCTTCACCCAGCCCCTCAACCTCACTCCACTCTGACAGCTGTCAGTCTGTTCTCTGTATCTATGAGTTTGTTTCTATTTTGTTTGTTAGTTCATTAGATTCCTATATAAGTGTAATCATATGGTCTTTCTTTGACTTATTTCACGTAGCATAATACTCTCCAGGTCCATCCATGCTATTGTAAAAGGTAAGATTTTCTTTCATTTTTTTTTTTCCAGAAGAGTAGTATTCTATTGTGTAAACATACCACAGCTTTTGCATTTACTTACCTACCGATGAGCACTTGGGCTGCTTCCAAACCTTGGCTATTGTAAATAATGCTACAATGAAATAGGGCTGCATATATTCTTTCAAATTAGTGTTTGGAATTTCTTCAGATATATTCCCCAAAGTGGAAGCACTGGGTCATAAGGCAGAGACAAGACTTACTGACGGATTGACTGTGCTATGTGAAAGAAAGAGCAACAGGGTAAACACTTCTCCATTTACTGAGATGGCTAAGGTTGCAGGAGGAGTGGGGTTTGAACCTGGGAAATGTAAAATACCAATTAGTTATGTGGGTAGAGATTAAGTGACATAATATAGTCCAAGTGCCTAATGTAGCATAGGTCCTATCTAAAATGCCAGCTTCATTGCTTTCCTTTTGTGGTATTTTTAACAACTTCCTTCTAAAATTTCCGTTCCCTTGGCTTCTGCAATAACTTTCTTTATTCTGTTATCTCTTTAACATATTTCATAGTTGCTTTTCTTTGACATTCCCCTCGTATGTTTGCCTTTTAAATATTCAGTCTTTGAAGCTCTTCTCACAGTTAACAATTTAGTGTCAATCTTTCTAGCCTTTTTCTTAAATAAGATTATATATTATATATATAAACAAATAGGTTATATCCTATATAATAAAAGGGTGATATGTAAATTGACCCTAATGGCAGAATGACCACTGGACCAATCACTATGAGGTGCACTGACCACCTCTTGGTCTCTTTCCCGCGGCAGGCTCCGATCACCTGATGGTGAAAGGGGAACCAGGGGTGGGTGGCGGGGGGCATGGGTGGTGCCAGGCCAAGGCCCCGCCCTGCTGGTCACCCCACACACAGAGGGCTATCTGTGGCGGAGGCGGGGCCAGTGAGCGGGCGGGAATAGCAGGCCTCTCGGTCCCTTCCCCAGGCCGTCAGGCACCAATCACCCAATAGCGAATGGGGAACCAGGAGTGGGTGGTGGCGTGGGGTGGGGCCGGCTGCAGGCACCCGGGGAAGATGGCCCTGATCACAGGCCAGGCCTAAGGACTGTACCCGCACACAAATTTTGTGCACCAGGCCTCTAGTATTATATTTAAAACAAATATATTATATATAATGAGCTCTTCTTTGTAATTAGAGTTACAATGTGCTTGTTTAATTAATTATCTATGGAATCTTCATGTCCTTACATAGTCTTCTAAATCATCATTGAAACAAATTTCTAAAAATTCCAATATTTGGATATACCATTTTTATTTAGTTAATCCTCTGTTACGTTTTTATATTTTGGTTTTGGTGGTTGTTCAAGATTTTTTGAAAATATACATGCTATTTATTATTTTAAATAATTTCAGACTTACAGAAAAAATTGCAGGAATAGTACAAAGATTACATGATACACAAGAATAAACTTAAAATGGATTAAAGACTTAAATGTTAGACTCAAAACCATAAAAATCCTAGAAGAAAATATAGGCAGTAAAATCTCAGACATTTCTCATAGCAATATTTTTGCTTTGAGCAAGGAAAACAAAACAAAAAATACACAAATGAGAATACATTAAATTAAAAAGATTTTGCAAGATGAAGGAAACCACCAACAAAATGAAAAGACAATCCATTGAATGGGAGAACATATTTGCCAATGATGCAGAGAAGGGGTAACCTCATGTGCTATTGGTAGGAATGCAGATTGGTGCAGCCACTGTGGAAAGCAGTATGGAGTTACCTCAAAAAATTGAAAATATGACCCAGCGATTCCACTTCTAAAAATATATCTGAAGAGACCTGAAACACTCATTCAAAAGAATATATCTACTCCTATGTTCATAGCAGTGTTATTTATAATAGCCAAGTAGGAAACCTTACCATTTGCAACAGCATGGATAGACCTGGAGAGTATTATGCTAAGTGAAATAAACCAGTCAGAGAAAGACCACATGATTTCACTTATATGTGGAATGTAATGAGCAAAATAAACAAACAAAATAGAAACAGACTGATAGATACAGAGAACAAACTGACAACTTTCAGAGGGTTGGGGGGCTGGGTGAAAAAGGTGAAGGGATTAAGCAAAGGAAAAAAACCTCATAGACACAGACAACAACATGATTATCAGAGGGAGAAGTGAGTGGGGGAGGTAGAAGTGGATAAAGTGGGGAGCGGGCCTAAGCCATCAGTAAGACATCCCCTGAGGGCTCCCGGACTGTGAGAGGGGGCAAGCCAGGCTGAGGGACCCACCCCCAGTGCACAAATTTTTGTGCACTGGGCCTCTAGTTCTACTATAAGAAAAAGCTTTTTATTTTCTGAATCTCTGCAATCATTTATTTTTATATCAATGTTTATAATTATGACTATCATTATTTATTTTGATCCTTTACATTTTCCCAGATTGGCCAATAAGAACCCATTCAAGGTGACTTCTATGTCATTATAGCCTCATAATTCTTTGAGAATTTTCTTACTTTCTGGTATAGCAAAAATGTTCCAGGCTTATCCTGTACATTCCTTACATCCATATCTAAAGTCAGCTATTTCTCCAAGAAATTCTGTTCTTTTTTCCTGGAGAGCAGTACTTTAGAAGCCAAGACCTGGGTACCATGCTTATTATTATTAGGATGTCACTCTCCCAGCCCACTCTGAGCACATACCTATACTGATATCTATATTTATTTCTACTGCTATTTCTAGATCTACCTCTCTACATATATTTATATATCTACCTCTCTACATATATTTATATATCTATACCTATCTATCCATCATCTATCTATGGGTTCCTGCCAATACCTCCAACCCTGATCCAACACTATAAGGCTCATTCTAGTTTTTCCACTTTTCATATTTGTAGCTCCCTTCTCCCACAGTGAGGAATATAAACCAAATGTAGCACTCTCCTATTGCCCAGGAACCACTGCCCAGCCATTGCCACTCCTACCCTCACCTCAGATGCCAACCTAGCCTGACTTGGCTCTAAAACTAAGCCTTGTCTGCCACCTCATCCCCCCAGGCAGAAAGCCCTCCTCACCTGCCAGCCTTCAACATGAAATTCCAAGCTGTTGCAGCCACTG